TTGCACATTATTGGTTTGTGTTAAATTGGACTCTTCAAATAATGATCAAGGACACCAACTTCATACAACTTTCTTTGATGACAGCAACACATTTTGTCTTTTCAGAGTTAACATTTAGCAGTATTGGTGCTTTCTGGTCACAGTAATGAGCTCTTCTATATATAAGAATCATGAAAATAATTGCAGATATAATTAAAGAAAGAGGTGCTAAACCAAACACTGCAACCCATAGGAGAATGTAAGCTTGACAAGTATGTTGATAAAATAAATCTCCCCCCAGCTGGTCTGACTCCTCAAAAGATATGAGAATCAGTTGTTTAGAATCATGTTTTAAGTTTACTGTGCAGGCATCTCTGACATGGCTACATATAGGTTTTGCATTTCCGTTGAAAATGTAAAATCTTCTAGCAATAGTCAAATCATACGTGAGGAAGACTGATTTAGATTCATCGTTTTGAAATTTTCTGGAAATAACTATTTTATAAAATGCATCATCTGGTGCTATGAAGTCCAGTATCTGCTCTTGTCCACTACCAGATTGTCCACATGTTAGGTTTAGGGGTATTCGTTTTGTCACCAACGTACAATCGCCACAATTATATCGATTGCTGATCCACCTTTTCCATGACTCTTCTCCTCTGATAACAGACACCTGTGCTTCAACACCCGATGCCACTTCCCTACAGATGGCTAAGCTAAGTTTAGATCCTCTTAAAAGATATGCACCACGTTCGTCATAGATATTCTCTGACATCATACTGTTAGAAATCTTAATGGTTGTAAAACGAAAGTTGACTGGGTCGATCAGGGGCTTTCGTGAAAGTAAGGTCACATTGGCATATTCCCAGGGATCAATGGTATAAGAACCACACCAAGTTGTTGAGTAGTCTGAAAGTAATGTGTTAACTATGAATTCATCACCATAATTAGCTGAGTCTAGATTGGCTTCTGTAAAATATTTGTTCTGTCCAAGCAGAATGCCAGATATAGCAAAAGCTAATAACACACAAAGGATGAAGAAAATACATGGAAGATAACGCTTTTGAAGAGGTTTTTTATAAATCCTGCTTTCCATCTTACTTTTTTCAGTGTATTCAGCGAATCTGAAAAAACCAAAATGATCTTTTATAAACCTTCCTACGATAATAACACGTTCAGATATTACCCTAAACAGGACGCCTGGTCATGAGTATGTTAAGTCAAATGAACAGGGTGGATGTTCTCACATTCTAAAACTTACACTGTACCCTTTATGGAATTTAAAGATGGGTTTCCTTATTTTTTA